TTTTTTTTTTTCTCGTGACTCGTCCCGTTATTTCTAGAACTTGACTCAAGACCACTGCGAGATTTTCACACCGATATTATAACCGACGTCGTGAAATTCATTTAATGACCCGAAATTAAAATTAGATCGTACGATACTACCTTGTTGAACGTGTCCAGTTTCAAAGTGAAAATGTTCTAAATGCATTAGAATCTGTCGTGGATCACGTGTGTTTATGAATACTCGAATCTGTCCGCACATTTCTCTTTCTTATTCGATTTACATGAAATATATTATTTTCTATCTTCCTCCGCGTTTCTGGAAGATCAGAAGCAGCGCGCGCATAGCGAAAGATCTCCACGATCCATAGAACGATCCACGTTGTTTTTGTGCGTGGTCAGTCCACGAGTTCGTCCGGCATCTAAGTATAGCCGTGGCTGTATTGGCCTCCGGACTAATGTTTTTCGGTAACCACCGACTGTAGATCCCCCTCGAGGAAGAGAATCGGTGGAAGAGCAGAGACCTGGTCCAGTCTGCGACTAGCCACGGTATCCTCTTCGAACCAACAACCCGAAACACGAACAACGGTGTTTACCTCCCTTGACCTCCGTTAAGGTGCGTCAGCCCTTCCACCATTCCTCAATTCCATCATTCCCATCGTGGATATTCCAACTTTCTCGTCGATCTACTTTTGCTCGCAACATTGTTAGAATTTCATTTTTTAAGTTCAACAAAATTTTTTTTTCGTATTTTCCTTGGAGAATCTTCCTCAATTTTTGGAAATATTTCGTGCACTCAAGATGATTCTTGCATACTGGTTCCTCTCCTTTTCTAATTGGTTCAGTTCTGTGAAGGTTGATAGAATTTTGTTACGAGACTGGTTTGATTTAATTGATATAGTGATACAGTGATACTTGTGACGGACGATTTACATGGAATTTTGAATAATAAGAGACAAATACGTAAGTTACGAAGTTTTTGGAGAGAGTAGCAAAAGTTTGCGGTTTTATTTATAACTATTAATCAGTTATTAATTTAAAAGGTTTTATTTATAACTATTAATCAGTTATTAATTTAAAAAATTTCCTCGTGTTGATAGGTAGTCTCGTATGTGATATTGTTCCAATTGTCTAGGCTGATCGATAGGAAATAATCGCGTGGAAAATCCAGTCGCATCCAAAAATACGCGTCTCTTCATCCTGGTGTCGAATTACAGAGTCAAACAATCCGCTATTCTCCGATGGAAAATTCCGATTGCCAATTTTCAATGTTTTACTTTCACTTCCTCTTATAGCAAACAGTCTTAATATTTTTTTTTTTTTTTTTAGCGACGTTAATATTAATTTCATTTCAAACGGTATGGAACATATTCTGGGAAATATAATTATTGTTTATAGGAGCTGAGCCAGACTCTCCGTGACGACAAAAGTCTATCGGAACATTTGAAACTTCCGATACAACGCATAAACGACTACCAGCTCCTGCTCAAGGTAACTGTTCAACCCCGCTATACTATTTGTTGCTTATGTAATTATTTGTTTTTATTTAATCCACGGTTTTCATCATCCTTTACGAAATCTCTCGCGCGGAGAAATTTTTGACACGGACGCGGATCAAAAATACATTTCAAGGGTGTTATGACAGAAATATAACGTGGTTATAGAGTATAAATCTCTTGAAAACATTCCAGCAGTTATGCATATTAATTTTCGCACAAAATTGTCATTGAAATTTGATAGTATACCTAAGGGCTCAACGTCGATCTCGTTCGCATGATTTTGTTTTAGACAGATTTAAACGTGTACAATCGTATTTGAACAGACTTACTCGACAATGTACGCTTAAATTCAACACACGTTTGATAGACAATGAAAATTGCTTTTAATTTCTCTCTTGTCCTATAGTTCTATTTTGCTTCCATCGGAATGAAACACTCGAGGAACTGACTTGATAGCGACGAAACACGGCGACCTGTAGAATCCGCGAGACACGTGACCTATATCCCCGTTGAAATTTCATTCTGTCAGATAAAATTAGCCCGGCGCTAAAATACTTCCCGATTCGCCTTGAGAACGCATTTCAAACGATTAATTATCATATCGCATCAAATTTAAATAATATTCCCGTAGAACGCTCAACGAGACGAGACCAGATAATCTAATCTTGAACTTTGGATAAATATTGCTATGGAATGACATGGAAAATAGATTGCACATAATAATCTTGATTTTCTTACCTATAAATCTTTGGCTTAAACCACAAATTGGCTTGGGCCAATTGCCCAGTATATATATATACCTATATATATATATATATATATATATA